GTTCTCCGTACAGCAATAGTAAGTTAAAATGTTTATCCGGTTATTTTCCGGATTGCATATAAAACTGATTAAAGTAGGATGCTAACTTAGATTATATCTAAAGTTAATAATAATTGATAATAATTAGATTACATTAAAAGTTTTATCGTTTCAGTGTAATTTACTGCAAAAAAAAAATTCAATCAATCTATATCTACAAATAACCTAACAAATTAAATTATAAGTAAGAAAAGGAATAAATTATTAAATTAAGGAATGCGCAATTAGCACAATATATCATAATGATTAGCTTTAAATTTTTTGATTAGCATAATATATCATAATGATTAGCTTTAAATTTTTTGATTAGCACAATATATCATAATGATTAGCTTTAAATTTTTTGATTATTTAAAAGAGAGCAAAGATTTAAAACATATGTTATTTATGTAAAAAAAAATAGATAAACGAAGGGAGAAAAGCATCATATTTCAACTAAACATTCTCAAGTAATCATCAAATAAACATATAAACACTTTAGATAAAACAAATTTAAATAATAATAATAAAAATAAAAGAAAAAAATATTGATTACATTTGTTATTATTTATAAATTTACAAATGGTACTTTGATATTTTTACATTTATAACAACATTTTAAAATGTTAAATTATACAAATTAATTGAGAAAAATGATAGCATAATAATAAATTCAAAGAATTTTATTTGAATTTAAATTTTTTAAAATTTCACTTTTCTAAATAGTTAAGCAGCAAAAAAAAAGGAAAAAAAATTATTTTATAATATTTGTTTGAATGAGACGATTTTTGATTATCACTCTTTCTCTCTTTCTCTCTTTCTCTCTCTCTCTCACTCCCTCTCTCTCTCTCGTCTTCATCCATTAACACTGTTTGTGCATTTTCAAACAAATCAATTTAAATTACTAACACATCAAAAATTGTTTTGAATTATTTTCAAATCTCTTCAACTTTTAAACGAATTTTTCCTTTTTTTTCCGATAATATTCATGAAATGATAACTTTTGTTTCATCAATTAAACAGTAATCACTAATTAATTAATGAATGATTTCCTGCACAAGGAGATAAATTGAACTTTCATTTTCAAATGTTAATTCTTATGATAAGAATCTTATCAGATACAAAGCATATTCTTCATGTTACACTCAAATGACATCATTTGATTAAAATCCACCGAAAAATTTTAAAAAAATTTATATTAGTTTATGCGACAAGTCTACAACCATTAGTAAATTTGAACTGAAAAATTTATAAATTTAAATTAAATAAGCAATTAACAGTTTTATAGGTGCAATTATCATATTGCATTATTAAACAAACTCTTAATGTTTACATTTCGTTTTATTTTCCTCATAACAGTTCTTTTGTAGGATTCATTAACACTTCATTAATTCAAAAGATCATAGTTAAAAATTTGCACTTGAATCTAATGAAATGTCAAAGTTCAAGATAAAGTAATCGATGGTGTTAAAAACATGTACTTCATTTCGCCAATTCCACTTCAAAAATTTACATAAGCTGTAAATGAATCACGAAGTCATATTATTATTAGCAGAGGATATTTCCTAGAATTCTTTCTCGTATCATGTAAGAATATCGAAATGAATGATAAATCGTAATCTGCTAGAAAAATTTCATATGTTCGTTTCTTTTTTCCTTTTTTTTTTTTTTGTCGGAACAAAATCAAATTTGCTAAGCAAGAAATGTCAGTAACAATCATTTAATTATATTTAGCAACCGCAAATCGGCACAATTTACAGACTTCATTAGACTTCCCATGAGAGAGTAAAATTGTTCAAAATCAAAAAGTATACTAAAATTGGTAATTTTATTCTATCAATTCATACAACGAATCGATTTATATTTGTGAATAATAGAATACCATAGGAAATGTTAACGAAGATAAGAAAATTTTTACGAAAAAATCAAATTTTTCATGCCAGAAAAGCCAGCAGTACTGATAGGAAAGAAAATGAAGGGATCAATCAGTAGCTTAATCAAGTTTGTATTTTATCAAATTATCTGCTCCATATGATGAAAATAAACTGAAAGACTTCATTTATTCTAGGTTAAATTCCATACCTGTATAATTTGTCTGCATATACTAATTATTTCAACTGCTCCTTCTAATTTATAAAATATCTAAATTAATATTTACACTTTATTTCAATTTGTCTTTAACAAACATTCAATCATACAAATATGAATGTTATTGCATCATAAAGCACTATTTTCACTGCACAGTATCACTTTGGTCATGTGGGTCGATTGTCATGGAACAATGCACCGTTTTGAAAAGCATTGCTTCAGTTGTTGTTGCATTCGATTCGTGCTGATGTTTAAGGCATCGATTTTGGCGGTAAACAGCGCGAAACATTATGACAAGTATAACAGATAAACAACATGTTAGAGCGAACAATGAAACTGTAATTAAATCTTTGTCCATTCCATTTTCATCTATAATTTAATGACTGGATAATGAATGAATAGTACTGAATGACCAGATGATCATAGAATTTGTGACAAGATCGATTTTCATTGATGAAGGGTATGTTCAGGATGCGATTCAAGAAGCGCGACATAGAGCTGTGCGAATGATGTTTTGTAAATCTAATAATTCTATTTAATGAGAAAAAGACATCTTAGTTTCAGGATTTCTGAAAAGAGCTGGAACTACCCTCAATGCATTCAGGTAGTGAATCACTCCATAGGCCTGACTTCAAACACTCGACGACCTTATTGCTATCTAAGATATAGCCTTCCCAACATTTGAACCACATTTGCACACCGCGCCGAAAAGTGGTACTGGATAGGTCGGAAGTAATATATGCGCCTTTCTGAATGAAAGGTTCAGGACAGGTCACTGAAATAAACGAAGCATTTTATGGGAGGAAATTTGTTGTCGTTTTTGTTATTTTTTTTTTTTTTAAATGCAATGCCAATAACACCACCAGAATTTGGTTTTCTTCATTTTACTGACCCAAAGAAGACTCTTTACTTAATGAAAGAATAAAATTTACATTTCGGAATGCAACTTGGCCATTTGGGTGGGTTCCAGCTAGAACCGGAATGTAATGCAGAATTCAAGCATACCACTGAGGAAGGACCAACCAAACGAGTTGTATCATCCTTTCATCGTAGCTCCAACTATAATTTTAAATGGTAATATATTATTTCGCCCAAACGATTACCTCACATCACTTCAGGAGTGACCTCTATGAAAGTAAACTGGAGAAGTGAATCCCAAATGATCAGCACAAAATGCACCAAATCTAGTGCGTCTTTTTTGACCATATATTCATCCAAAATAAATTGTCTTTCCCTAAATTATCCAAATATTGTTATGCAGTAACTTTACACATTATTCTTATTAAATACCTGGAAGTGGCGCTCTTGGAGAAAAACAGTTTGTTGACTTTCCTTCACAGATAATTCCACTAGCTATGAAATCAAGGAAACGTGAAATTTATTGGCTCGTACAAATATTTCGTGTAGCTGAAACCAAAGTTTCTGCTTAAATGTTGACAAATAAGATGCTGAAAAGATTCGAACTTACTATGAATATCTGATCATATCGTTTAATGCACTTTCTGAACGGTTCCTTATTTTGTTTAACGAATGCATCTTCATTTTTCCTTTCGTTTGGTGCGATCAAGCTTGGATAGGTGAGGAAAAAGCGCATTTTTTTCTATTCTCTATGATTGATGGAGCAGTAATTAGGGAAAAACCGAAAAAATTGTGAAATCTCTAATTCCTGCTATGGAGAGCTTGAAACAGCCTTGAAGATTTTGAAGATTGGATCATGATCTAATATTGTTGTGGTGCTGATTATCAAGTGCCGATTTCGTTTATTCTATTGATGGAAATGAAAATAAAGTTGTGAATAGTGAAAAACGAAAACGACCGCAGTTAGGATATCTGAGACCACTCGGTACATCGTTAACTTCATGAATCTACTGACTGTTAGTACATTGTAATGTGTGCTTCCCCGGTGGATGCAAGGTATTCTGTGCCAAAGCACATCTAAAAAATATATTTACTAGTAATCTTAACCTTACCACTACTAGTTCATTAACACTTTTCTTCGTGTTATCCTGTACGTAATCGAGATCGGATGGTTACTATGGATGATCAATATCCGGAGAGTGAATAATATATCGATATCTCATTAAAACATCTCATTTCAGTAATGTTGAAATTTTTTGCAATTGAGTTCAGCGAAATTGATGAGATCGAATTAAGTCACACCTGACAATCAGCGTATCATTATGTCTGAAGAACCGAGAGTTTCTGGTAGCATTAACACTTAATCCGCAATGAATCAGATGAGGTAGTTCGTACATATGGAACGCTGGTTTTCCATAACACAACTTAGCCGAAAACTATCCACCACAGCATCGTTATTGCCAATCAACAACCATATATCGCCACTTCCAGAGCTATTCAATGTGCAGCGTAAATATACGCTCCTCTAAAATACAAATAAAAACACTTTTTTACAGACGGGGAGAAAAGGAGAATACTTCGTTTATAGAAAACTGAAAAGTGTGAGGTTATCAGTGAGCTTTACAATTCAAGAAATAACGGGGAATCACATCTTTTCGAGGAAAAAAAACAAACAAACCATCACATCTTTGTTTCAATTCCAGTTATTATCGTAAAAATTTCATCTATCCTCTGAGTAAATCGTGTATATTATTGATATAAGAAGTTCGCTGACTGTATCCTTTCTCATAGTCAGATAATCTGAAAAGAAACTTAGAAGATATCTTATATAACTTGGCTAAGATTTATGTAGTTGTTACTGGCCAAGATTTGAGGAGCACAAGTGATGATTAAAGGGATGTATGTGTACAAAAGTGTATCATCGATGACCATTAGGTTTATCATCTATTTAAAGATCAAGCTTCACCAAATTCAATCATACTGTCGTCGCTTCCGCACGGATATATCATTTTTTTTTTTATCACGAATATATCGGATATATCATCCACGGATATATCACTTCCGCACGGACATATCATGAAATTGTGTGGAATGACGAATTTTCATCTAACATGGGTGTGAGGCTGCATTAAATATAATGGGAGCGGGAATAGGACTGTTATTTGCAAAATTGACGTTGGTCGGACAGTGTTGTTGTGTTTACAGGTATGTGCGGTTGTTGTAGTATTTGCTGCAATGTTTTGTCATTGCTGTATCCGGTTAAATACCGGATTGTAGTGTAATTCGTCTATTAGTAATAATGTTTTTTTTACCTCAATACATCTGACCTTTCACATGCTTTATTCTCCAATTTACGGTCTGATTAAATAGATTCGGCTTATTTTTGCTGTACATGTTCTCTTCCAGATTTACCTTCTCCAAACATTTCCTGATGAATATTGTTCAATTATTTGGAAGCACTCACTTTTTGTATTTCGATATCGCTTGACCGTATCTTACACTGTCATCATCATGTTCTTACGCGCATATCTGTTTAATCATTGCTTTTGCATTCATCATCCCGCATTCTTCCTAGAGAAATGTTAGACCTTTCCTTTTCAAATTTACTTTTTTTTGTCGGAGGATGTCGGGATTGGACTTTTGTACTAAGCAGTGCTTTGCATTCGGTTACGTTTTTTCCAGTCTTATACATATTCGGCATCGTTTTTTATTTCGTATTCTCATGATCTACATGTGATTTTATGCATTTTGTTTTCCTCAATGTGTCAATGAACTCGTGATTTTTGTTGTTGTCAGTTTCAGCTAGAGAACTGAAATTCGTTGTTGTTACTTCTGCACTACTTTTTTTTCTAGCTGATTTTCATTTTGTACCATGCGAATCAAGAATGTCGACCATTCTTTAATGACTCTGTGTTTGGTCGATCATATAAACAAAAAAACAAAAAAAAAACAGGCAAGATAACCAGTTGACTAGTCATATGGGTTAAATTTGTTATCCTGCGTGTTTTTTAATTCATGTTTTTGATAAATTGGATATTTCGAAAAGATGAACAGATGTTGAACGGGTGAGATACCTTTCTTTTCTGATGATTGCGCTTTTGTGGTAGAACAAGGCGGGATCATTTAATGCTTTCTTTTTCGTTTCAGGGTTTGATTAGTGTTATTTTTATTCTTTATTACTGTAAAGTGTATGATTGATGATGGCACCCGCTGAAAAAGAGGGAGACGTACAGAATAATGCTGAATGCGATTCGATGAGTGGCAGTGGTACTTACTTTAACTTTCTTCTATTGATAAGCTCAGGTGTTTAATGATTAAGGTGCTTGAAAGGAATTTTATTAAGCCATTAAAGTCGTGAACTGAACTCCACAGATGTGTTATTTCGTTGCTTTGTTGGGGTGATGCACATACGGCCGATGAAAATAAAAATAGGTTTGATTTAGTGATGGGCAGGATATATTGTCTGGTAGCAGGATAGTGATATTGTTAAATAACAGCTTTGCTTCCTACGTGAGATATGAATTCATCAAAAGTGCTAATGTTGCAGTTTCGGTGGATGAATGGGATGCAGGAAAGCAAGTGTACTTTAATTATGTCATTATGTGCAAGGTGGTCAGTTTTGTGAATGATATCAAGGATCGACAGAATTTGGAACTTTCTAGCATAGCTATGAATAATCTGAGTTCACGTGTTCCTTATATCAGCTATAACAGTGATAACAGCATTTTGGATATGTATTTTACGGTATATTCTTTTACTGCGTTATGGATTTAATGGAAATTCAAAAACACTATAAACTTGGCTTAAATCAAGTTTTATAGTGTTCTTGTTCTGAGTAAGAGGAAGTCTTGACTTCATGGACGAGCTTTCCTTCTTTCTATTAAACATCACTGTTGCTTCTTTAATTTTTATGAATTTCTGGAAAACTTTGAGAAAACTTCACCTGATTTATTAGTTCTTTAGAGGGTCGAACCTGTGATGAACATAAGTATTGCGGGCAACGATTTCAAGGTGACGGCATTAACATCCAGTGTTCGACGTACCTTTGCAGATAGTCCGATTTCTCAGCCCAATGCTTGCATTCTTAAAATGCAGCATATTATCAAACGTTTCTCACGACAAATTCATCGACTGCATATTGGTGGCATATCGGATTTTGAGCGTCGACTCGGCTACATTCCAGATCATCAAGTATGAATCTGAACCGTGTTTGCTTTTTCTGTAGTTGCTATTATTGACTTTTAATGACAATATTCCTTTCATCTTATTTTTGAATCTTAGCACAGAGAATTCATTGTATACCTCTAATTATTAACATTATTGATCTACACAACTGACCACTAAAGTGAATTTTTGGTAGCTTCCTTAATCTATATCTTTAACAAAAAACAATACTGATGAAGGTTTGATGTAACGGCGAAGGAGCTCGTGCAGATAGCAGAACATTTTTTGAGTCAGTCATTTTAGTGAAGGTAGCATATCTATTATCATTTTGTAGTATTTGATTATCATATTGGAGGACTTATTGGAGGAGATATCATATTGGAGGAGATACTCCGAAAAAAGCAAGAAGTACCCACCCATCAGAAGTTGTTGTTACAAAATCGTTAGTTATAAGGAAGATGGAAATGAAGATTCTCGCGAGGGACTATAGGACATGCAGTAAAGCAGTGCGAAAAGTTATTTTACAGTAAAGTCAAATGAAGTAAAATTAGCAATAACAATTTTCTGATGAACATTTATTTTGGTGCAAAGCCGTATACATATATATATATATATATATATATTTTTGTAAGACATTGTAGGACAATTTCTGCTTGTTTTTTAATATTTGTGTCGCATATGGACGGTTGTAGCTCAAGTCCTGTTCAGCCATCTACTACACATGGAGAAGTCCTTACGAATAGGATTGATGTGTGAACTAGGATTCATCTGTTATTTGCAGCTTGTATTGAGTCGAGATCTATGTGATGAGTTCGATCGATTAAAAAATGTGGACTCCCTAGTTCTTCGCAATCTTTGTTTGATGTCATCGGTAATCGAATACTGTAAGTTTTTTTTCAGGACTCCCGTTCCGTAAAACATTCACTGATTCAGTTTTCGCGGACTAAACTTTATTATTTCAGGGAGCAGCAACGAATGTTACCTTACCAACCGAATTTCGAGTCTTTGCTTCCATAGTATCTGGTTCGATCATGCCGAAGACATCGACAATTTTGTGGTGAATTTCCTTTTCTTTGTATTCTTAGATAAATGGATGAAACCGCTTAGTTTTCAATAATAAAACTTGAAAACATCTAGGACTTTTAAATACATAACAGTCAAGGATTTATTTGTTGTGGTTTAGGTATTGTTTAGGTATTTAGGTATTATTTTAAACTGAATCGGGTGATATGTCATAACATGAGTTGAAAGTAGGTGGATTATGCAGTAGGTGAGATCACATATGTTCAAGTGATTACCTGAATGTGATAATGATATTAATTACTTCAGGCAATAATTTCCGGAAGCGTCAAAAAATTGTATCTCTCAGATTGCAGCGGAAAAACAATTATGAATATAGGGGGGCGGCTTCGTGCCCTCCCTAACAAGCTTGACATCCTTTATATAGCCATCGATCATCGGACATTTCGAACTGTGGATCAGGCGCGCCAGTTGTTCACGGTATTCTTCTCTTAAATAATAAGTTCATTGAACGTATGCAGTGGTCGAGAATCTAACTGAACGAAAGACGAGGAAGAGGAATTTCCACTAATAATACTAAATATTTTGCTTTTTAGGAAGCGTCTGAGTTAGCCAACAAATTGCATATCTGCGCCTGTTTCTCGCGTTTTGTATGCCAACCTGGTTTCCGAATACTGGTAAATGTTATCTCTTTATTACCGGAATTCCAGCAAATAACTGCAGTGGAATTGGATTTAGGACCTTTACGAAAGAATATGCGAACATATGACCAGTTTTTTTCAGGTAGTTCATTATCTTTTGTCTTCTTGTTTTTAACAATAATTTTATAAAGTATAACTACAGTGGCTTCTTATAGTAACTGATTTGATCTATATGGTGAGCAAATCATAGATGAATCACTATATTCGATTACAGTAGTAAATCGATCAGTATTATCAATCCCCTTTAAGATGATGAATGCTAAAATTTGGGATCCTATGCATTTCACTATGAAATTACAACACTGCACAGATATTTTTACATCTGTCAAAGGCAGATGAACGGAAGTTGGAATATATATTTCCTGCCTAATCAGTTTATGTTAGATTGATTATTCCAGGCCTACCTCAGATGTCACAGCTGCGAGTTCTGCGTTTGTTCGGCTTCCCGATCAACTATGGCTGCATGGACCTTTGGAAATTGATGTTGCGATCTATCGCGGAATTATCACAGATTACGGAATTTTCGGTAATCAATTTGTTAAGAAATATTCGAACCGATGAACTGAAGGCTTTCTGCGGGTCGCTGCCTATCAATCTGAGCACTTTCGCGCTTCATCACGTTCACCAGTTGCAGGATGATCATTTCAGCCTTATTGCTCAGGTACTTTTCTTATGATTCGTTAGAAAATCCCACTCACTTTAAAAGTGCTTTTTGATCTGTAAAGCGTAGTTCTCTTCTTTATGTATGGCGAAATTTACAGCGTTGTCCTAGACTGGACACATTATATGTGCGTGATCTGCGGTCGGTAACATCAGAAGGCATAATGAAAGCTTTGATGGAATTCCGAATGTTGACCAAGATAGCCGTATGTCATTCGGGTCCAGTTACAAAGCAGGCCTACGAATTACTGGCCAATCGTGAAGCTATGCCTCATATCGAAGCCGTTATTTTAGGTGGTAACAGAGATCATCAGAGCGGTAGTAAGTTTTTGCTTTTGTTAACGATGTGTGTGGGTAAAATGTTTTCATCGTAGTGTAGGAGCTGAACATCGTTGGAAATTATCATCTTCCTCTTTGAATGTTAATCATTTGATGGCTGCAAAGTTTTTATTTTTTCAAAATCTGCATAAAAACCTCCTGCTATTGTTTCCTCCATATATACTAGTGCTGACATCTCTGAAGTATTTGTCATTGTTAGGTCGTGGATGTTTTAATGCCACAAACAACATAAGCATTATTTCAGCTGTCCTGAAGGCTTTGCTGCATCGACTACCACAGTTCCGCGTGATCGGCACATGGAATCGATGGCGTGATTGTGAATATCATCTGTGGCGTAGTAGTAAGGCTTATAAAGAATTACTTGACGCGTCGTGCTATGCTGATTGTCCAGGATGTGGCAAAGACGTGAGCCTGATTGATGATGACGATGACATTCCGTAGAGCATGTCATCGAAACTCTTACGATCGCTTTGTGAATAGTTTATAGCTAATTATATAATGATATTATCTGTATAAAAAATGTCATTCATTGACTGATATTCTGAATCTACCTTAGGTTTTTTTATTTAAGAGATGTCTTCGTTGTACATTGTTTATATATCATCACTAATTATTCTTGATGGGTTTAAGCATATTTATTGCTATAGGGAACATAGAATATGGCTATAGATAAAAAAGAAACAGGCCTCCTCTCTCCTTCCGAAAGAGATAAGTGTTATCACATTTTTCTTTTTGTTTGAGTCCATTGCACAGCTGGGGAAAAGCAAAAGTAGATGATTTCATTTTTGAAGACATTAATTGATGTACGGCTTAACCAAGTGCTTGATTCGGTATGCAAGAGGATGGTAAAATATATAAAGATCCAGAATTAGATTATTAATGAAGCTGTTATACCAGTTCATTAATAATTTACCTTTATTACTAATGAGCTATTATGCCAAGTGGTGTTTCCATATTGAAGCTTTATGTTTTTGTCGCTTTACTGTGTGCCATCGAATTATTATTGTCAATCCTTTTTCTCTTTCTGTTTTTTCTGCTCGTTTTACAGCAAACGTTATTTGATCCGTCATTGTATTTCGGTCTATTTCATACCTAAATAAACGGTAAGCTGGACGCAGCTACCACCTATAAGTCACCTTGCATGTGGGAGAGGAGAAATAATCTGCAAAACCAAAAAGATAATTATAAAAGCCTGGATCCGACCTAAGAAGTTTCCAAAAAATGCAGCTATTAAGTCGTTTCTTCTAAGCCTACCAAGCACTTAAGCAAAGCTGCCTATAATGTACTGAACACTTACACCTGTCTTAAGAGGGAGTAGTGAGGGTTCCTATTGTGTATCGTCGCTGTCTTTGCAAACCCATTGTTACCACTGATGGTCACAATAATCAAAGCAGTACATTCAATGCATTTGCCGCTTAAACCAACGATAGAAACATGAAACATATATAAAACGTATGGATGGTACTGGAGAATGGTTTTAATGCTTTTGCTATCTCAAATATTCAAGATTATCCGATGCCAACTATAAAGTCAAAATGGAAGAATGAACAGTTCCATCAAATGGTTTCGACAAATCCTACAACGCACACATATGGTACCGAAACTACAGACAAACAATAACTAGTACTTCCAGATATCTTCACCCTCCGGTATTTCAGCAATTCGATCGGCAAACATTTTGCTTCGTCCTTTCATCATACTTGCTTTATACATACCTTGTTTATCGAAGCAGTGACCTGAAAGATAATTTTTTAGTTTGATGTCTCCAAACATTAACCAGCAGTTGTCTCCCCCTATCTACATTTCCGTCTTGTCGTACACCAGCATTGAGATTTTCAATTTCAAACTAATCCAAAGTCCATTTATGTCTGGAAAAACTGGCGAATTCTAATTGTCCGAAATAACGAAATGCCTTCTACGTTACAAATTAGTTCTTTCTTCTCCTTATTACGTAAAAGAAAGAAAGGGAAGAGAGGGAAACGATGCAAAGCAGTTCATAGATGGAATATCCAGTAGACTTCCTCTTCACAAATAAGGTTTTTTATTCCCTTCTAGTAAATTCAGCGGAAGAATTCGCTTAACATGATGGATGATGGCATCACCGCCATCTATATCAGGAACCCAGAGAATTTCACAGTTTAATTTTCTAGAAAAAAATGGCGTGAGAAACTGTAAGATATTCTCTGTTTCAAAGCACTACGTTATCTATCCAAGAAATGCAATATAGAGATGTAAATAAACATATGATATGGCTTCAAAAGTGTGGAGGCTATTTTCACATATCAACAAAACAATGAATAACTCGCGGGCGGCGCAACAGAATGCCTGACAAAAATTACTATATGAAGTCCAGTAACTGAAAAGTGCCAGAAAGATGCATCATCCCGATTTCAAAACAATCCCAAAAGGATGGTATGAGGTCGATTTGAAGAAAACAGAAAAAAAGGAAAGCATCCCGAACATAAGTAAATGCGTGAATAAACTAGGTAATGGAAAAAATCAAACTGCGGGAAGAGCAGGCTCACCGAGATACGCCATTACAGCTACTGATGCCCATAACGTTTTCTTCTCCCAAATAGCTTTCTTGAAAAAATATTTCAACGTAAATGTTCCCATTTACAGATGACTGATTGTTTGATTGAATGACAAAGTGACCTGGAATAAATGATTTGAAAAAATGAAATATCAAACCTAAATTATCTCACTGGTGTTCTCATCACGCATTGCTTCAAGAACTGTTGCATGCCCCTTTGCCCTTAAACTTTTCATAGTACGCCAATCAGAAATTATAAATGTTGCGGCCAATACGGGCCAAATCCATACAGTTAACATCCGCTTAACGGGAAATCGAAACATCTGAAAATAATCAAAACATTTGAAGTTAGGTTTGGGAAACGAATTATTTAATCAGATCAAATTTCCGTAACAAATTTTCGACAATTTGAACTACTTGAAGAACTTGAATCAGAAAATTTAAGAGTGTTCGACACACCAATCAAACCAAACTACAATATAACTAGTCCAGTTTAAGATTTCCAAAAACCCATTTATGATAGGATCGTCAACCTATAACTTATCTTCTGATTGTAGATAACTTAGGTCCCCTACGGTTACCTTACCCGCGGGTATTACAGTACCCAAGCAATACCACTAAACACGTGATACTTTGCTGGCGATAAATTAGGAGCCGTTAAATACCGGTGAGTGCATGCCAGTCTATCTGGAAGTGAAAGGATGACAATTAGCGGTTTGCCTAGTTGACCGGTAGTATGGAGACGGTGTGATATCTTGTAGTGCAGTGATACTGGGTCCGAGATGTCTTAGAGACTCTAAGAAATGGACGACTGTCCAGTCATTATTGGGCCGGTGCATACCGGTTGATCAGCTTCTTCCTGTTTCATATCTTTTCGGTATCAGAGAACATATATACATATAATCGTCATGTGATAATAAGAAAAAAAAGCGATTATATATAATGCAGGTGTATTTATGACTGATACCTTCGCATCTTCTATACCAGTGGATGACAATGAGGGACACTTCATAGAGGCGCTTATGTCGCAGGTTGACAATGAAGATATCAATGCAATCATAAGGTTACAGAAGAAATCGTAAGATTCTTTTTCTTCCTTTCCGTAAGGGAAATAAAAGTACGCTCCAGCATTATCGAAGCTTTTTACGGTCATATAATTATCGAAAGACGGTCCTGAAGGCGCATGACATACCATATATGTACACGTGATTTATCATGTTTTAACGGGAAGTTTATAAATGGACATGAAGTGTCCATTTCGTGTCAAGACGGAGAGATATGAAGTATGCAGTTCGCATGTAATTATGTTACTCCTACTGCATAATGAAAGCAACACTAACTTAATGCTCACGGTATGTTAAAAAGTAATTTATGCATTTTTAGGTTGACACAATTCGAGAAAACCAATGAAATGCTGACAAATTGCTGTGCCCTATCAGCTAACAGACTTGAAAAAGCACGGAAAGATTTAGCTGAAAACAGACAATTAATACTGGAAATGAAATCCGATTTGGAATCAATTTTTCGGCAAATACGCATTTTTAAGCAAAATTATATTACTAAATATGCCGCTGTTTATAAACACTTCGGTGGGTTTGTTATTAACGTTTAATCAGATGATCAATTATTCGCTTTCTGTTAGATATCGTAAACTATGTTAGTATGGTGCACTCAACTACATCTTTACTATTACATTCAATTATATCTTTAGCATGTTTAGGTAAAGTATTTCATTCATGTGATATTATTTGAAACTGTCATTTTGAACAAATGATTTTCTGACACTATCACTAATATTCTTTCAGAGCAGCAGTATCATGATGAAGAAAGAGATGAGTAGGAAAAGTATATAGGTTCTATTCGAATTTATTCGAAGGATATACAAATTTTGATGATATTTTTAATCTCTTTTGTACTTGCAAGACCTCCAAATACATGATAGAAATAGAGGCAAAACAGTTATTCCACTTCATTCCCGTAATAACCTACTTTTCACTCTATTCCTCCGAAAATAACTATTATGTATAGATGAATTTCCTGCTGTACTCCAACTTGTTTCATGTTTCTTCTCGTTAGTTTTTAGTACATAAGGCTAATAGTCCAAATAGTTTATTTTTTTGTCCGGAATACAAGTCCACCAATTATTAATTATTAAATTAAGAACATTTGTAAATATATTCAGTCCCGGTTTTCATTTTTTTCAAGTTTGATGGCTGCATGGTCGATGAATTAAGACGCTTCTCCCTCCTCTTCTTCTTGATCTTACACTTTGTCGAACTATTATGGCTCTTTTTCCGCCTTTTACGGTGTTCGTGATCGTTATGTTTCTTGCTTTTTCGCTTCATTTTCCGCTTGCTTTCTGCAAATATCAAATCTACCTGAGTTCCTTAATGGGAAGCTGAATCATTCAATGTGAATCATTCTTACTCGTTTCACTAACCTTGCGGGATGAATAATTTGTAGGCTAAGAAAATAACCATACATCAATGACATTTCCGTTCTAAGTGACAAATATCGCATTTTATAAGTGCTGTAACTGTATGTGTATAAAGTATGATACTACCTTCGTACCTTTGGCAGTAAGTGGTGTCTCGTATTCGGACTCTGAACTTGTGGAAGAGATGTCTGTACAGCGTCCTCCGCTAGGTCGCAGGAAATTGTAACATTGAAATGGAAGATGTCCAGGATAACCACATTTTCGACAAGCACCTGTTGTCATCTTTTGATTTCTTATCCCACCATACATATCTGTTGCAACATAACTTTTTTCACTTCATTTCTAATTAATGTAACCCACCCCATTCACCCTAGACTTGAGAATTTTAATAAGGAATGGTACCAGGATCCCGTCATTAAACTTATAACAACTTACCCGTGCGCATAACCGAACTTCCTGGTTGCTCAGGACGGTTCGGTAATTCTTTGTATTCCAAGCTGCTCATATGAATGTTCGAAAGGACAGGGTTATTTGGAAGGGAAGTATCGAATATTCAAGAAACTGAAAGAATGATAGATCTGTGCATCCACAGTGATCCGTGATATGTTAAATCGAGAAAGTTCCAACGACCAATATTGATCGTCGGCCTCATCCATATATCAGGATCATCTTAATTATGTTTCATATGCTTATTTACTATCTCATGGCATAAATTATAGGGTATAAGCAGATTTTTCTAATTTGTCCTTTTGAAGCCGGGAAAAAGTCGGAAATTCAATAAACACTGCAAATGGAACATTTTATAGAAAATTATAGATCGCAAAAAAAATTTAAGTCAAGGAATTCGCTGAGAAAATTCTATTCCAAATAGTCGGAAATGATATTTGTCTCTCTTTAGAAGGCAGAAATGTGATATAATGATGAGATGAACAACGGTGCAGTACTTCAAAAAAGGGATAAGAATTTATTTTAAAAATCTTATCATTTCAAAAGTCGACTTGATCAAGTCAAATCCGAGTGACATCTACACTGCTTATTATTGTCATTTGGGATACTAAACATCCGGACATATTAAATGTCCGTATGCAATATGTTCAAATTCGTTAAAATACTACCACCAAACGGGTATCTCTCATGTCTTCCCAATCAATACCTGGATAGAGAAAGATATTGCGTCCCCCTCCCTCAACGGGCGAATCGGTATTTTGCGATGGGCCGGCCTTCGTATAAAAGATTCGTCCACGATATGCCACCAGCATTTCCCAATGAAAAAGAAATACCGCGTATACCTTCGGATACTTCACTGGTTTATCCATGTAGTATCCATCCACTGGATAATTGCATCAAGATAATCATATTAAAGTGATCATTGGTAAGATTTGACTAACTTTTCGAATGCAACAAATTAGTCTTCAGGATGGAACACTTTCATGGTCTACCAAAAGTTTTGGTAAAATTTCTGGGAGTTCTGAGAAACCACATTATGCAAGATTCTGTTAGTGTAAATGGAAGGGTTTTATGTAGGGTTTTTTTTCCATTATGAGTAGAATTCATCCACTCTATTTGAACCTCTCTGTGCCTAAAAATTATCAGAACATAATATTTCCATTAAAGTGACCAAACAGTTAAGCAAAATTTAATCCGGCGGAAATATATAATGAAATAATTAGTATGCAATGGCATAAACGCATGGTTGCTTACTATTTGTTAAGTAGAAATTACGGATTACTATTCGTTCCGTATAACTATTCCCGAAATTAGCTGAAGTAACTTCTTTCCAAAAAAAAGGGAAGAAGCTGCAAGTTTATTTTCTATTGTATTTATTCTGTTGATTCCTTTTCTCGTTGAAATTAAATTTCTTCAACACCACTCACACTATCCATTTCCTGATCCGGTATCGACGCTAATCTGTTATTCTACTGAATAGCTTCCCAGTTGCTTCATTGACAATTTCGTTACTGATTACAATAATCCGGCGGTGGTTTTGTCACAAATGCTGGACAAGTCGTCATCAATAATCTCATTCATTTACCATATAAATCCCTTCAACCATTTCCGCTTTTTTTTTTTGCTTCAACCATTTCAAGCACCACAATTTCAATAGCACTTTGTTCCCTCTGCTCATTGCTCAAAATGTCATCTGTTAATGTGTGTAATAACTCTCAGCTAAGATTGCTGACATTATTATAACCATAAACGTCAGCTCATGAAAGAAGAATGTTAGGAAGGAATTTTGTTAGATGCATGTGAAGATTCAAAAGAGCTCCAAAATAAAATGAAATATGACTTGTTGAACTTCTTCAACTTACTATTGCATGTTAATGTTTCGAAAAAACAAAAGCAAGTAGAGAGTGCAAAAGGTCAAACATTACTAGCAGCATTGAAAGAAGTAATATGATGGGTGAATCAAGATTATCATGAAGCAGAGTATTGTCACCTGTTCGAAAAAATATTAGTTGAAAAGATATCATAAAGCAAAAGTAACATTAGCTGAGAGATCACATAACTAGCTGTTGTATCTCAAAAGACAATATTCTAAAGTTTAGACAATTTCAAATATCGGTTACACACGTTCTCTTCAATTCATTCAAACTCGTTAAATAAAAAACAAAAAGAAAAAAAAGTTCAGTATTCCAACTTGTCATTAAGAATCATTTTGAAAATTAAAAATTGATTTCGAAAAAAATGGAAAGACAAAAACACAAAAGTCATTAAATATCGTTGTATTCTTTCATTCATTACTAAGAATATCACCTGAATCCTTTATTCAAATCTTTTTTGCTCAAATTTACACATTTCCATTGAATTTTATCAATATTTTATGCAGTAGAAAATAAGCGATGTCTATATCATCACATATTATAAATTAAATTGATGGCATAAATTTGTTTGAGCAAAATTCTTGATGGAAGTTATTTCTGGGAATTTTTTAGTAGTGTATTGTTAATGTTACTGGTACTGATACTAGTACTGCTGCTGGTATCTGGTACTGGCAATAGTACTGGTACTGGTATTGATACCGGTACTGGCACTGATATTAGTATTGGTACTGGTATTGGTATTGATTAAGTGGAAATTTTTTGTATTCTTGGAAGTACCTTGCGCAACGTGATAAAAGTTGCGAATTTCTCTTTATTACCACTTTAAACTTGAACTCGGATGATTAAACCGTTGGCTGGGAACGTAGCATAATAATTAATTACAAAATACAAAATTAACACATAAATTTGATGCCAAAATTATCTCCCCAAGATGAACTTCGAAAACACCAATCTGCAGAATAGAAGAAAGAACGAAGTTCTACTACTATCTGCAGGGTATATATCCTCCAAGGATTGTTTTTTACGAATACAACGATTAGCGCCTTTGTTAGCTCATGCTGATAAAGCACTCTTTGTTAGCGCACATTTCTAAAGGCTTTGTTAGCATACATCAGTGGAGGGCTCTTTGGATACAATGCTAAACAATGAGCACATATACAATTCTATCCAGTGATAGCGCCCTACCCATACAGAAAAGTATTTGGATGATTTCTAAATCTTAGTAACGATCCAACATTGTACATGCAAATTAATACATCATTACATATTCACTTATGATTCTTTATATTTTCCTTTATAATGGAAATTCTTTGCGTTTTATTCGCGACAACTGGTACTGATACTGGTACTGGTACTAGTACTGGTATTAGTAGTGGTACTAGTACTAGTGTTTGTGATAATATAAGAGTGAAATTAAATATTCAATCATTAGAAAAAATATTTAGATTATTCATTGGGAATCAGCTGGGTAAATCTTTCTTTCTACTTCGTTCTACGCTAATGGTAGTGGAACTTATAGCTTTCTTTTCTTTTTTTTTTTTTTTTTCTAAATATCGGATAACATGAAACAAAAAAGAGCGGGATATCTAATAAGTGATCTCAGAATGAATGAATACAATGCTTCAGTGTTCTTCATTGTATAATCAATAAAGGGTTGCTTATCACTTTATTTCATACATCTCAATTGAATGCTGATATAGTTTTCCGGAATGAATTTGCCTTTTACATTAAATTCCCGTACTCAAATGAAGCAGGATATACTTTTTATGTGTTGTTGCAATTTGAGAAATTTCAGGGAGTAGAAGGGAATCTTTTTTTTTTTCGTTCATCAAATAACTAACTTATTATATTGATTTTTCATAGCAGTCTATCGTTCCCCTTAAATTTTAACAAAATTTAATTTTCAAGGTATGGCGGAATCTTTGCCTGGAACTTCTTCAACTCCAGCAAAAACTCCTTCAAAAGATGAAACTGATCTTGAATTGTTATACCTAAGTTTCAGCCGTAATTTAGAGTAAGTGTAATGGCGCAAAGTAAATCATATATGAATTAGACAACTTAAGCGCAATTGTCTATCATTTAATTTCCATTATGTGGTGTATAAATGAAATGAGATGAAATTTGATGAGTTCAAATGAAATAATTTCCAATTTTCCTTGCGAAATTTACCTTATTTCATTCAATTTCCAATTTTCCGTATTTACCTAACTATACTACCACTGTTCACGTACGTAAGTCACATTGCTAAGTAAATATCTACTCACTAATATATTACTTTACAATTGAATTTTTTCCACTCATTCATTAACTTACACTTATTTCGATCATTTTGTATTTTTAGTAGATTAACTACTGCTGGTAATTATGGTTTCACTGTATATAGAACAATGGATAATGAAACACCACGTATGTACTATGAACTTTGTCGACGACCACTTCAAAAAGAGTATACGCTAAGTAAGATTACTCATAATATAATTTAATCCTTATCAATAAGTGAAAAAAAATTGTCATCTAATATCATTCCCTTCTTTTAACAATCATTCATGTCATAATTCATTTTGAAATTTACAGTTATCAATGATGTCATCCTGATTGAATGCTTTCCTCCGATACATAAATATGCAGTGGTATTAGGCAAATTTCCATGTGCATTACATTTCTATGATATAACACGTAATTCATGTACCGGTATAACTCATTTTCCGGGACGAATTCTTAGCATAAAATCATGTTCACAGGTGATTGTTTAGGATTTATTCAGTAATTTATTGAATCAAAAGAAAATTGTAATTCTTCCATTTTTGCTTTGAAAATTTTTCTAATTTGACTAATTGGAAATAGTACGGTCAATTAGGCTATCTTACATTTCAATTAATGATAACATACACCTCAAAATATTTGATATTTCTCAACTATCTATGATAATGGATAATATCTAACAGTTATTTAAATCATAAGATAGGGTCAAGTTAAATGATAAAGATTACACCTCAAAATGGATCAAACTTGAATTAAACTTCGTTTTTCATCAAAAATCTTGAAAAGAGTTAATGAGCTACAGGTGATAGCTGTTGGTCTTGAAACTGAAATACAATGTTTTCGCATGTATTACGTAAGTTAATCCGGTTTTTTTTTTTACCTACTTTTCAGCATTTTTCTTCCTCTTTCCAGTTTTTTCTCCTGTTCAATATTTCACATATTAAGCAAAAATAATAAGCCAATATTCAAAAAAAAAAAAACTTTATTTCATCTCCCAAGTCAGTAACACAACATGCAGCATGCAATGCCAATCGGAATCAAATTGACCAATGACCAGAAGATAGAAGATCAGAAAGCATTGACCAGAAGATTTCATACATAGTAAGAAGATACTTTATGGAAAAAATAAAAAAAGCAATTGACATTCTTACATCATTTGCAGTTTTAGAGTAGCTTTGCTGATCTTCAATATTATGATGATATTGTATATCTTAAAACTCCACCCAATTTTTCGGTTCTTATGGATTTAACGGGTGAAGAAAGACCCCAGATTGCTTATCCGGATTCTTCTACCACAGGTTTTGGTGAGTAACCAAATTTCCAAAACTGGTTTTTAACCGAAACTTAGTGTAGGAATAGGAAGTTACAAATTTTACAATTTCAATCTTTGCATTCCTAAATGAGTTTGAACTTTCTTGACCATTTGCAGACGGTTAATATCAACCATGCGGCTAACAACAACAAATGACAACAATTGACAACAAATGACAACAAATAACAATAAACAACAATAAACAACAACAAACAACAACAAACAACAACAAACAACAACAAACAACAAGCAACAACAGCAACAAACAACAACAAAAAACAACAGCAGCAAAAATAATAATAATGATGATGGTAATGATAATGATAATAATAATGATAGTTATGATGGTAGTGATAATAATGATAAACAATAATAATAATAACAGCAATAACGACAACAATAACAATGACAATAACAAGTAACAATAACAATAACAGAATAAAAACAGTAACGGAATAGTAGTAATAATAATAAGAAAGTAACAGTAACAATATAGCTACAACAAAACAATAGTAAAGTAACAGTAACAGTGACAAAATAACAACAACAACAGCAAAATAACAATAACAATATAACAATGACAAAATGATGATAACAACAGTAACAACGACAGTAACAACAACTATAACAACAGTAAACAACAACAACAATAACGGGAATAGTAATATTATTCAAATTTCCCATTTCCTTATTAAAAACTTAGAACATTTGAATAATACATTCTTTTTTTTTGGCTCTTAATCTGAAGGTATAAAATATTTAATATTTTATTTTTTTATTAATTTATTTTTTCTTTTAGTTGCTATACACGATATTTGCTCTCATTTACATGCAAAAAAATTGATAAATGCTCATAATCATCCGATAGCAGCGTTATGTTTAAACAATGATGCGACAATGGTCGCAACAGCATCAAATATTGCTACAGTAATTCGTATTCATAATGTGCGCAGATGTGAATGTATTTTTGTGTTTCGCCGAGGAATAGCTCGGTAACTTTTACCGCCCTTCTCATAATAATAGTTAATGATAAATGAAGTAAAAATTGAGACACTTGGAAGTTGTGTCATTTTCAGTTTTTTTTTCTCTGACTACAGATTTCAAACAATCCTAAATTAATTATTCCATTAATTAGTTATAAAAGCAATAAATTAATGATTCCGCTAATGAGTTTTACTTTCTTGGGACATTGCATGTATGAGATTATTTCATCAATAGACTAAATGGAATTCATTTTGATTACATTTACGACTAATCAGGAATGGTATTAATTACCTAATGATATGATATGATAATTTAATTTCCTATTTATGTCAGTCTAACATAAATGATGACTAAGTAGATGATTTGAGAACTGAATCTTAAATGGAAATGAAATTTTCACGAGATAAATTTATATCTCTCATGCACATACATTTTCTACTAACCGGATTTGTTCTCCAGTGTATCTCTTCAGGTCTGTAACCGTACATTCAATGGCCTTTAGTGCTGATTCCAGATTCCTTTGTTTAACCAGTAATACGGAAACCATTCATGTATTTAAACTTGAAGGAACTTTACCAAAACTCCTTCTACTGGAAGATGAAGTAGCACTGCAAATAGAGTTAGTTTTACAGAAAAAAAGGAATTGAAAATTAGAAATGAAATCGAATATTCAAAAATTGAATCAAATTGAAATTTTTATTTCTAATGTAATCATTTTAATACATTAAATGGCAAATTTTGAATTGTTAAAGATTTGTTTTTTTTTTTTAACAAATTGTGAATTTATAATAATCGAATGTTTGGCTGGCTTACTTGTTACAGAGAACGGACAGCACCGCCTCAACCCTTTCGTTGGAGTGATTATTTAGCTGGGTCTAGTCGTGCTGCAGCGGAATATTTAGCACCAACGAGAGATTTTGCTTCAGCAATTTTACCGGAGATTGGAAATTTGAATGTAGCTGGTTTAAAAAAGTATGCCAACAACAGCGAGAAAAAAAAACTTATTCAATTTAAATATATCTTTGGGTGGATAAATGCCAAATTGATCATTCAGTACCGACTTTTGACCTCAAATGTTTCATTTTATTTTTTAGGATTGGCGGTAGATTGCATCTATTAGCAGCTACTTCTACCAGGAAATTCTTCTCATTTGAAATCAGCGAAGAAGGGGGCATTGCTAAATTGATAAATAATGGTGGAAAGCTTAGTACTAAGGTATATCCTTGATCAAAGCTGTTATGTATTCAATTAGAGATAAAACTAAGCTAATTTAAATATAAAACATGTTTAAATATGAGTAAATGGGTGTGTATATATTTGATTATATTTAATATAATTTAAATAGAAATATGAATTATTTTATTTGAGCTAATTATTCTATTCGAGAATACCTTCATAAAATCTTACCTTATATTTTAAGACGATAAAGGAAGTTTACAGTGATAATTGGGTAATATTAATTGTCAAAAAAGAAAAGTTGGATTAATGTGCCTTATTTTTTTTCCAGGCCAGAGGTTCTAAAATGTTTTTTAACCTTTTCTTTTTTTTTGTTTTTTGTTAAGTATAAAGTAATATACTTTTCAGGCAATATCGTGAAGTTTAAATTCGAATAAAATGACCAAAAGCGATGAAAGTTTGATAGTCTGATGATTGGGCTAATTTGATAGTTATCTGTAAAAATCTCGAAGTTTGTGATGCAAATTATTGATTGTTTTATCCCAATTAGGATCTTAAATGATAAGCAATAATTGAAAGTAGCGGAGAAATTTGAATGGTACATTATCTAAATGTGTTACATTGATAATAAATTATCAATGTAACATCATGAAAGTTAATAATATTTATCATATCGGCTTTATCTACTCTTTTTATGATTTCATTCCTTTTCTGGCTATATGCATGTGTGTATAAAATATATCCTGATATCCTGAAGTATATCCCGATATCCTGAAGTATATCCCGATATCCTGAAGTATATCTTTATATCCTGAAGTATATCCCGAGATTTTTATTTCTTTGGTATATTATTGGTACATGTATTGCATAATCTATCATAATATGATAATATTTAGTGTTTTTCCCATGAAATGATTATATGCTTCAGATTACTGTATAATGATTCAGTAAGAAGGAATCAAGCAACCATCAAGAATTAAATTGATTGTCGCATATCTTTGACAGTGGGCTTATCACTTTTTATCTGTTTGTTTTGCCATATGGTTTTTATAGGTTGGTATTATATGTAATTAATGAGTGGTGACAATGATGGATTAATTTTATTCAGGAAACCTGATTGAAAGTATTGCCATAAGTACTAGTTAATTTATTTTATGTCTTTCTTAAGAGCATTTTA